CCCCCCCCCCCCTGGCGGGGGGGGGTGCGGCCCCCCCTGCCCCCCCCCCCCCCCCCCCCCCCCCCGGGCCTGTGTTGCTTCCGGCCTCTGGAACAGGCTCCCGAATGCAGGTCGTGGGTCTGGGAATGACCACAAGATGTGCCTAAATTTAATGTTATGGCGAACTTCAAGTGGCAAACTGTTACATCTGTTAACAATGCCAGAGTGCGATGTGCATAATCCAGTCAGAACCGCGCCGCGCCCCAAAGTGCGCGCTCTCCGTCCGTCCTCGTGGCCTCCCGCCTCAGCAGCATCTGCTGCACCACATCGGCCTCATGGGAGGTGCTGCTTTCCGGCGGCAGCCCGCTGAGCGAGCGGAGGCCCCCGGAAAGCTCGGCCAGGTATTCAGGGACAGCGATGTCCCCCACCGGCTCTGCACCAAAGCCCCCGCGAGCCGCCCTCCCCGGCACCTGCACTCCTGCAGGTGGGTTCTGCCTTTTCAGGCGGTTACGCCGGAGGAGGGCAAGCAGCTGCCAAAATCCATGCAGAGCTGGACCTGGGAGTCCGGAGAAGGGAAGCCTGGATAGTGGGTGGGGGCCCCAGCGCTTCCGCAGAGCCGCCTCCCTCGCCCCGAGGGCAGGACCAGTCGGCCCGGTGGGGTGGGCCGTCGGACTGGACTGGAGCCGCCGAACGGGGAGGGCGGTTGACGCGGCACAGCAAGCCTGGGGAGGTGGGGGCCCCTCCTTCCCTGGAGGGCCCCACAGAGGCTGGGAGGCCCGCCCATCAGGGATGTTGCAGGCCGCACACCACCACGCTGTCCCCTGAGCATGGACAGAAGGAAAATGACGGGCCGCTGTGGCTACACGATTCCATCATACAGATTGCTGATTTCCGGCTGCTGCTGCTGCTGCATCATCAGGAGTTTTCGAATGACTCTGCAAATGGCCTGTTGGCATATTATGGTCTATACCATGGAGCAGCCAAATGGCTGCTCCTCAGTCCTTCCGTCAGGCTCCGTCTCTGGGCTGACAGGTTTTCCCTGCAGTCCTACGCTCCTCCTCCTAAGAATTCCGTTTAGCTGGAAGATGAGCTTCCCAGCGCCCAAGGGCAATTTGCACTCCAACCGACGCGAACGTCCTGTCCAAACTCTTAAAACCAGGCTCAGGGTCGAGACACTGAACTCTCCCATTCCCAGTCTGAGAACGTTGGCCTTCTTTAAATACTGTTGGTCGAGGCAAGAATGTTAAACCTCACGGAGCTTCATATCACAGTTGTATTTTTTAACCCACCTAAAAGCAATGGTGCTTGTGTTGCGGTTGCTGTTTGCACAGTCGTGTCTCTGAAAAAGCTGTGCGCAGTCGCTGCCCCCGCTGCCAGTCCCCATTCCCTCCGTCCCTCCCGCAAGGTCACCCGGCTGTGTGCTCCGGGCAGCCCTGCAGCGTCTCACCCTTGCCTCTATTGCAGCAGCAGCAGCTCCAGGCTCAGCACCTCTCACATGCCTCCCACGGCCCCCCGGTCCAGCTGCCCCCGCACCCGTCTGGGCTGCCACCACCGGGGATCCCGCCTGTCACAGGGAGCAGCTCCGGCCTCCTGGCGCTGGGGGCCCTGGGCAGCCAGGGCCCCCTCATGGTGAAGGACGAGAAGAACCACCACGACTCGGACCACCGAGGTGAGGCGGCACCAGCAGCGTCCTCCGCTCCCGTGCGGCGCTTCTCTGGCGCCTTCAGTCTCGTGCGCCCGCGCGGGTTCACTTTGGAAAGGCCCCCAAAAGCTCACCCTGATTGAAGCGATGCTTCACTGGGTGTTTCTGGCTCAGTCGGTCCCGAGACCAGGGGGAGGCCACTGGCCCACGGATCGTGGCCTTTGCTAGCAAACGACGAAACGCAGCGTGGCCTGAGAAGTGCTCTGGAGGCCTCTGTAAGGAGACCGGCTGAAAGGGAAGCCCATCTCCTCTGAGATGTGGACAGAAATATAGTAACAGTTTTGCATGTTTTCACTTTGTTTTTCCGTCAGTTTTTCCCTGTGGCACAGCTTGCTCTGCTGTGTGGTTCTTTGCCAAAAAGAGGGAGCTGCTCTCTGGGCGAAGATTCCTTCTGGAGAGCAAAAGATGGCAAAGGCGGTGGGGCTTTTATCAAGCCGAGCCAGAAATCCCCTGCGTGCAAAGGCACAGCGAGATTGACGCTCTATTTTAAGATTGTCTCTCTTGTTTACCTTCCTCCCGCCCGTTTCCACGTCGCCTTCCCGTTTCATGTGGATGCCGTCTCCTCTGTGGCTTGGGCTTCATTCCCGAATGAAAGACCGAGACTCCAGCGCAGTAAGTCACGCTTCTGTTTCCTTTGGCTTTGCTGCCTTCTTTTTACGTGCTGGCTGCCGAGCTCTTTTTCTGCCTTTACGAGCCGCGTTCTGGATTCCAGCGCCACTTTATTGACCAAGCCGGTTTCCACACTGAAAAACAAAACCAGCACTCGCTTTGTCTGGATCCCGCGTAGCTCAGGGCACCCGACTTCTCCGCACCTTTGGCCACTCGGCCGGCTGAGGAGCAAACAGGAGGGAGCCCTCCAGCGGTGCAGAGAGTGGCTTCGTTCCCAGCAGTTGGTCTGTGGTCGCAGGTCACCTGGTCCGTGGGGATGACGCGGTTTCTTGCGTCGCGCGGGGTGGGTTCGGAAGGCCAGGCTGTGCTCGGGGGCAGGTTCCTCTTCGAAGGGGGGCACATGCAAAGCCAGGCTGCTCCCTGCGGGCGCGGCATCGCACAGAGCGAGCCGATGTGCCTCCCAGGAGCCAGCTTGGGCAGTGCTGGGCAAGGCGGGGGGAGATCACGGCCCCTCCCTGGAAGCATCCATGGGGCTGGGGGTCTCAGAGCATGCGCCACAGGCAGGCCTCCGGGGGTGCCCCTGCCAGCTGCCGCCTCCTGTTACTGCTTTTGCCCCGGTTGCTTCGCTCGTGTTTCCTGAGCCGCGGCAGGACGCTGACATATTTATTGCAGAAGCGGAGGGTTTACGGGAGGCCTGCCTGATTCAGGGAGAGGCGGGCCTTTTCAGCATGAGTGGCTGAGAAGAAAGGGGGCTGGCAAGAGCCGAGCCGCTCGTTGGGAACGCTGAGGCAGCGCGGACGGCGGGGCGTCTCCTGTTCCGGCAAGAGAGAAAGGGCAGCCGAGGGGTGCGCAAGGCCCTTCTTCCTCAGCAGAGGGCCGGGAGGCGGGGCGAGGGGCACACTCTGCAGCGAAAAAGAGTCGGCACCCTTTGCTGCGGCCCCTGGAGCTGTGAGGAGCCCCCACCACGTGCCTGGCAAGTGCAGTGGACCTGTGAGCCGGGCAGTCCTGGGCCTGGAAGGGGGCTCCCAACCCCCAGTGGCAGGCGTGCCCCCACCCGGGGATGCATCTCGGGGTGCACATGTGGACAGAGCTGGGCTTGGGAGGCCCGGCAGGACTCCCCCTTCTCCGCGCCGTGGCCAGACCGCGCAAGCAGGCCTGCGGGGCCGGCCCGGCCCCCGGCCTGGGCGCTCGCTTGCTGCAGGGTGTGGCTCCACCTTCCCACCCGGCTGCCCCAGGTCGATCGCACTGCCGCTGCCACCTGCGTTGCTGCTCCGGGGCTCCCCGGCTGTGCCAGCTGGCCCCCTGCTGAAAGGTGGGCTGTGGCCTGCAGTCGCCGCTGCTGGAACCATAGGCTGCAGGGCTTGGGCGGGGGGTCCAGCCCCCTGCCAGGCTTGGTTTTTTCTCACTGTTGGTCTCTTGCCTTATCTAAACCCAGCTGTGGTATTTCACCATGGTAAGCTTTGCCTTCGGAAACCGTGATAAGAAACAGTGGTTTGCTTTATACTTTCTCCACACCACCGTGGCTTGTTGTGTTGGCTGAACCCCAGATTGCAGTTTCCTGACGGGCAGCTGCCATAGAGTCCTCTGGGAAGAGCAGCAGTTCCCGAAGCTGCTCCAGCCGCTTGGCCTCTCTGTGCATGCCGGGAGTGATGCTCTTTGGAGCTGAATTTCGGGCATGGGGACGGACGGAAACCACGGTGCCGTTGGCGCAGCTTGATGGTTCCTTGGGCAGAAGCGGTGTGGACAAACGTGCCCCGGCAGCGTGGCTCATCCGGTTGTGAGAACCCTGTTGCGGTCTCAGACACCCTGCAGCCTGGGTCCTCAAACCGCAGCCCGCGGGCTGAATCTGGCCCGCCTCGGAGGTTTTGGACTCGCCACACCCGACGGCTCGCTCGTGCAGAGGTCGTTTTGGCCTCGCTCGGAGAAAACAGTCTCCGCCTGCGCCCCCCCCCCCCCCCGCCGGCACTGCCTAGCTGGCCCGCGCTCACCCCCGGCACCTTTCAACTGGCCCCCTGCTGAAAATTTTTGAGGACCCCTGTCCTGGAGGAAACTTGGTTTCACCCTGAAATAGAAGAAATAGCCTCTTATGGCCACAGGTAGCCATAATGGGCTACTGAAGCTTCCCCGTAGCTTGTGGTCTTAAAATTTAACCTCACCGCTGCTCTTTCCCAAGGCTCCGTGGAGAGGAATGTTGTCCTTCCTCCTCCCGACACCCGTTCCCATATCCGTGGCTTTTCCTCTCTTCTCCCCGCGTTCTGGTGTCTCCGCGTAACGACCGGGCCTTTGTGGTGCCCAGTCGCTGCCAGGACCGCTTGCAAGAAGGCACAAGCCACACGCCCGCCAGGTGCAGCCCTCGGTGCCGGCTCCTCCGCTGCCCCGTGGCCGCGGAGCAGAGCCAGTCCGGGGGGAGCCCATGCTGACCCGCAGCCCCCCCCCCGGGCGGAGCACGCGGCCCCCGCCGCGCCCCCCCCCGGGGGGGGGGGGGGGGGGTCCATCTTGCTTGAGGTGGGGGAGCAAGAGGGGCTGCTTTGCCCAGGCAGAGTCTCCTCCAGAGGCGGCGGGACGGCGTTTGTCCCACGGGGGGAGCTGCCCTGTGGGAATCCCTCCCGGCACGCGCCGCGCGTGAATCGTTCCGCGTCGCGTTGAGCGTGGGAAGAATGGCCGGCTCCACGGCGCCTTCGTTTTCGCAGCCCCCTTGCCCGAGAGACAGCCGAGCCCACGCGGGAGCTGCCCGAGCTGCCCCCCCGCCCACCAGACCCGTGCACACATGCATGTGTGCCCCCCCCCACAGCATGGAGGTGGCCTGCCTGTGCACGCCCTTGCTGGGGAGCCTCGCCTCTGCCGTGGGCTCCCCGGGGCCCCTGGCTGGCTGCCAGGGGCCAGAAGCAGCCCAGAGGGGCCTCCGACCCCTGTGGCACCAGTGGGTGGCGTGTGCGCGAGAAGGATCTGGGCACGCCTTCCCGGGGGAGGCATACTTGGCCGCTGGCCTGAGCGGGCCACCTGGCCCAGAGGCAGCCTGGCCTCGATGGCTGCCGCCCTTTTCTGCTGGCCTGGGCGGGCCACCTGGCCCAGAGGCACGTGCTCGCGTGGTCCCGGGGCTGAGCAGCTGCAGGGAGGGCATCCCTCCTGCCCGCAAGCCCAGCGCTTTCCTTCTGAGCTCCACTCCCCCTGCTCTTCCAGAATAATCCCATCTCCCCGTCGGAGAGCTTGAGAGCCCCCGAGAAGCACAGAAGCTCCTCAGAGTACAGCATCGACCCCAAGAAGCGGAAGGCCGAGGAGAAGGACAGCCTGGGCCGATACGTAAGTTTGCTGGCCCTGGGCCTGGCAGGGCCGGGCAGCAGGCAAGCCCACGTTCAGGTGCCCGAGCGCCCCCTGGGAAGGCTGTGCGAGGTGTCCGTGCACCGCTGCGGTGTGGGCTCCGCTTGAGCAGTGGTGGGACGCCGGAGCTTGTCCGTGGGCGAACCTGAGGAAGAGCCGGAGCAGCTGGCCCGGAGGGGAGGGAGTGCCTTGGGGGGCTGCCAGAGCAGCAGGGGAGGCCCCCTCACCCGGTGGGGCGGCAGGAGGTAGCAAAGCCACGGCTTCCTTTTTCAGGACAGTGACGGTGACAAGAGCGATGACCTAGTGGTGGACGTCTCCAACGAGGTAGGCTCTGCAGGTGCTTGGCCTGCCCCTCGCAGCCGGCCCCCCACCCTGAAGAAGCCCACGGAAGGTCTTGCCCGGCAGGCAGGAGACTCCCTGCCTCCTCTCAATGGTCCCATCTGCAGCAGGCGGGTCTTCTCCCTGGGATTTCGGCTTCCCGTGGTCTTGGGCGGGAGGTCGTGGCCTCAGCGGGTCAGGATTTGGGTGGTGCACGGGGGCAACGGGCGCCAGCACGACAGCCTTCTCCTGCCCCCAAGGACCCTGCCACTCCCCGAGCGAGCCCCGCTCACTCGCCTCCAGAGAACGGGCTGGACAAAGGCCGGGGCCTGAGGAAGGATGCTCCGAACAGCCCTGCCTCGGTCGCATCCTCCAGCAGCACTCCCTCCTCCAAGACGAAAGACCCGGTCCACGTAAGTGGCGGCGGCCGCGGCCGGAAAAAGGCATCACCCCTGCCTCCTTGGGAACCGGGTGGGCAGCAGAGTTCGGCAGTGCGCTTGAAAGGCGCCTTCTTGCAGGCGAAAGCACGGAGCAGCCTCCTGCGGGACTGCAGCTGATGTGGGTCTCCCTGCGACTCATGCGGGTGTGCCCGTCAAGACCCAGGAAAGAGGGCGGGCCGGCTGCTTCTGTTTGGCGTGTCGGCGGCGATCCGGAATGCCCTCCTTGCGCCGAGCCCGCTTTGGCCGGGCAAAGGCGCTTTCTCAGCCTGGGGCTGCAGGAGTGGGCTTTCCATCTCCGCAGAGGGAGTTTTTGCTGCGGGGAATTCGCCTCGCCCTGCTGTGCTTGGCGACCTGGTTGCATTTGAGAGGGCCAAAGCGAGCATGGCCCCCTTTTCCTCAGTCCCCATTTTAAATACTATTTTTTGACATTTCTGACTTGTTCACATGACGCATAGATTTTTTTCCATTTTGTAAATGTCAGGAATGGAGAGAATAATTGTCAGCTGGAATTTAAAACTTTTGAACCTTTTAAAATGTTAGATGGAGGTGAATCTCGGGATCTCCTCCTTCGATGGAAAGTTCTCAGTTGCTTTTGTTCCTACTGTGGTGGCATTTGAAAATGGCCAAACTGTCTCCGAATCTTGTTTTGTGGCAGAACGATAAATCCTCTACCCCGGGTCTAAAATCCAACACACCCACGCCGCGGAATGACGCGCCCACGCCCGGGACCAGCACGACCCCCGGCCTCCGGCCCGTGCCCAGCAAGCCGTCGGGAATGGACCCTCTGGGTACGTCGCTTCCCTCGCTGCGCTCCCTGCGGGAGAGCTCCCTGCGAGCCGTGCGTGCCGCTCGCGGCCAGACCAAGCGCAGCCCGGAGAGGCGCGATTCTGCCCGTGAAGCTCTGCGCAGCCCGGGCAGGTGTGGGGCAGCCCCGCTTCTCGTGCCCCGTCCGTTGCGAGCCTCTCCGAGGAAGCTTCCCTGCACCGACCCGCGTCCTCTTCCCTTCCGCTTGCCCTTCCCTTCCCTTCCCAGCCTCGGCCCTGCGGACCCCGATCTCGATCGCCAGCTCGTATGCCACCCCTTTCACCATGATGGGGCCCCACGAGATGAACGGCTCCCTCGCCAGTCCCGGGGCCTATGCCAGCCTGCACAACATCCCTCCCCAGATGGCCGCCGCCGCCGCTGCCGCCTACGGCCGGTCTCCCATGGTGAGCTTTGGAGCTGTACGTAGACCTTTTAGCTCCTCTTACTTGGCGCGGTTCCCCCGACCTTCGGGCGGCGGGTGCGGGGAAGGAATGCCTCCTCGGCAGCTGGCGGGGGGCTCCCTGGGGTCCCCGACGACTCGGAAGTCAGGCAGCTGGTTGCAGGCTGACCTTTCCGGCTCGGCAGGGCCCTCGTCTTGCGTGTGGGGCGAGAGGAGACACGGGAGCGGAGCAGCCCCTCCGGCCGTCCCGCTGCCGCGTCAGGGCTCCTCGTCTGCACTTGGCTGTGGGTTTCTTGAGGCCAGGAGCAGCCCTGCTCTTCTCGGGAAGCCCCAGGGCCCGCCTTCCTGGCCCGACTGGGGCCTCACGTTTCGGCCTCTCCTTTGGCCGCCCTTCCGCAATGGGCTGGGTCCCTGGCCCTGGCACAGAAGGAGCCGAGCTGGTTCTTTGCCTGCAGGGCCGCAGGCGAGTGCTGGGCTGCTCCGCTTCAAGCCGGGTCAGCCCCTGCGGGGAGTTTGGCTGGCCCCTCCACACCTGCTCGTCGGACAGAAGTGTCGGGAGGTGACGGGACAGCCGCCTCCCCCGCGAGCCGGGGGGCTCGGCCTCGCGCAGGGCCCCTTCCCCGGCTGGGCCTCCTTTCCCCACAAGCCATTCGCCGGAAGGGCAGAGTTGCCTTGGCCGGAGCCTCTGAAACGGCTTCATTTCTGCTCCGTGGCCGCTGCCTGACACGTCTGCTCTCCTCCTGTCCCCAGGTGGGGTTCGACCCCCATCCGCCCATGAGGGCCCCCGTGCTGCCCACCAGCCTGGCGTCCATTCCTGGCAGCAAGCCGTAAGTCCCACACAGCTTGCAGCACCTCTTGGACAAGCCCCCCGGCCTTGGGTGATGCGGCGGGGAGCCAGCGGTTCTTTGGGGTCCTCTTACTCTGAGAACCATCGTAAGCACTGCCGCCGGCACCCCCAGCGAGGTAGAATTCGTGGCGAGACGCCGGCGTGGCTTCCAGCCTCCCCGTCAGCCTCGCCATGCCAGGCGCACGCTGCCCGCCTTTCTGTGCCTGCCTGCTCTGAGCCCAGGCACGGAATGCCCCCTAAGCCCATGGGGGGGGTAGGAGGGGCGCCCGGAGGGCCCGGCGGGGCAGTGGCGGGCCGGCCGTGGGCCCCCACAGGGCAGCACTCTGGCTCCCGGATCCTGGCAGGGGCAGGTGGAGAACGTGAGCCAGAGCCAGAGGGATGCCCGCCGGGCCGGGGGGAGGGCCCAGAGGCGGAGGTGCTGGGCTTCGCTTTGGGGAAGCGGCCCCTCGCCTGCTCCGCCCAGCAGCCCCGGCGGCCTTCTCTGCCCTAGGGCGTACTCCTTCCACGTCGGTGCCGAAGGGCAGATGCAGCCGGTCCCGTTCCCACACGACGCCCTCGCCGGCCCGGGCATCCCCCGGCACGCGCGCCAGATCAACACGCTGAGCCACGGCGAGGTGGTCTGCGCCGTGACCATCAGCAACCCGACCCGGCACGTCTACACGGGCGGCAAGGGGTGCGTGAAGATCTGGGACATCAGCCAGCCGGGCACCAAAAGTCCCATCTCACAGCTGGATTGCTTGGTAAGCGGGGGACGTGTGGGGCGCGTGGGTGCAGGGCCCTCGCGGCGTTCGGGCACAGGGCCCACCACCCCTGACCCTGAGCGGCCGGCCAGCCTCTCTGAGCCGCCTGCTGCTGACGCTCCTCTCCAAAGCTCGCCATGGTTCTCCCTCTCAGCAGAAAATCTGTTCGTTTTGTTTGTTTGTTTAAAATGCTTGTATCCTGCCCTTTATAGCATCTCAGGGCAGTGGCGTAACACAGATAAATAAGACACAGCATCATAATAATACGGAAAATCAGCATTAAAGCAATAGTAACATTTGCAATGCTGGGGAAATCAAAAGGTTTTGACCAGGTTCTGAAATGGAAGACTTAGATTCTTTTCCAGTGGGGCAGAGACCTGGGCAGGTTCCACCCACGGCCTGGCCAGCACGCTGGCCTCTTGTTCCCTTTGTTCCCAAGGCCGTGCCTGCGTGAGGGGGAGCCCCCGTCCCTTGCTTTCCGTGAACTGGGATCGCCCTGCCCACGTGGAAGCCCAGGAGGGAAACTTGCGGCTGAGAGGGCGGGCCAGAGATCAAACGAACCCTCCGGGATTTGGGGCCCGGGTGGGCCGGGCCGGGGGCGGGCAGGGCTGGCGGAGTCACGGCGGGCTTCCTGCCTCCAGAACAGGGACAACTACATCCGCTCGTGCAAGCTGCTCCCGGACGGCCGCACCCTGATCGTGGGCGGGGAGGCCAGCACCCTCACCATCTGGGACCTGGCCTCGCCCACGCCCCGGATCAAGGCCGAGCTGACCTCCTCCGCGCCCGCCTGCTACGCCCTGGCCATCAGCCCCGACGCCAAGGTCTGCTTCTCCTGCTGCAGCGACGGCAACATCGCCGTCTGGGACCTGCACAACCAGACGCTGGTCAGGTGGGTGGCCGCGCGTTCTGCCCGCCCCGGGCGCCGAGCAGGGGGAGCTGGCCCTTCAGCAGGGGCCACGTGGCCCGAGAGCAGCCCCAGTCCTGCACCGGGGGTTTGTGCACCAGGCGCGCCTGCCCAGGCCTGCACGAGGCCGCAAGCCGTGGCTTTCCAGCCTCCTTCAACGCGTCGCCCGCTCGCTCGTGCCTGCCCTTGGCCCACAGCGTTGGGGGACAGCGCTGCCCCGGCCCCCCAGTGGAGTGGAAGCGAGAGAGAGCTCTCCCCTCGGCCCCTTCCAGGCAGTTCCAGGGCCACACGGATGGGGCCAGCTGCATCGACATATCCCACGACGGCACCAAGCTCTGGACCGGCGGCCTGGACAACACGGTGCGCTCCTGGGACCTGCGGGAAGGCAGGCAGCTGCAGCAGCACGACTTCACCTCCCAGGTGCGTCCCGGGGCAGCCCGGCCGCCCCCTCCCCTCTGCCTCGCAGCCCCTGGACGGAGGGAGGGAGTGGGGGACCGGCCGGGGCGGGGAGGAGCCGGAGCGGCGGCGGCTCCAAAGGCACCGGGGTTGGCATCGCCGCTCTGCCCGGAGGTGCGGGGACCCCCCCAGGCCGCTCGCTCGCGGGAGGTGCTGGGCGGTGCGCTCTGGGACCCCGAGGCCTGCCCCGGACAGTCGGGCAGGGAGCGCTTCGGCGCTGGCAGAACTGCCGGGGGGGGGGCGGGCTGCCCCTTTCCGCCCCCAGGGCCGCCTGCCTGGGCCGGGCGCCTTGGAGCCCCCGCCCGTGCGGTGGCGCTGCCCCCGGGGGGCTGCGGGTGCTGCCCCGGCCCCGGCCGCAGGCCGCCCCGCTCTCCCGTCCCGCCCGCAGATCTTCTCGCTGGGCTACTGCCCCACGGGCGAGTGGCTGGCCGTGGGCATGGAGAGCAGCAACGTGGAGGTGCTGCACCACAGCAAGGCCGACAAGTACCAGCTGCACCTGCACGAGAGCTGCGTCCTCTCGCTCAAGTTCGCCTACTGCGGTGAGTGCCGGGCGGCCGGGGTGGGGGCGCCCCCTCCCGCCGGGGCGCGACCCGAGGGGCTCCCGGCCACGGCACAGGGCCCGGCCACAGGCGCGGCCTCCCTCCCGGCGTGGGGCGCTCACCCTCCGCCTCCCTCGCCTGGCAGGGAAGTGGTTCGTCAGCACCGGGAAGGACAATCTGCTCAACGCCTGGAGGACCCCGTACGGAGCAAGCATCTTCCAGGTACACGGCGTGGCGGAGGGAGGGGCCCTCGCGGGGCTGGACCGCCCCCCCCCCCGCGGCTGCGGCCTCTGCCGGCCGTCCCGCGCGCCGCAGTCCCAGAATCCTCTGCCCTCCCCTGGCGGGTTCCTCGGTGTCCGGGTGGGCTGAGCACGGCCTTCGCTCGCGACTGAGCCTCCTGGTGGGGCCGAGGCTGCCGGCCCCCTCGGCCGGGGCAGGACAAGGGCACCCGGGAAGCCTGCCGGGAGCGGGAGGCGGGCTGGAGTGTTGTCCGGAGGACTGGAGGCCGTAGCACTGGTCCCCTCCCCCAGCCTGGGGTCCGACGTCAACCGTGGCCCTTCCCAGAGGGAAGCGACACCACATGCTCCGCAGAAGCCTCCGTCCCTGCCCTCGGCCGGGCCTCTTCTGTATGTGTGCCGCATTCTGGCAAATATCCGGGTAGGAGAAGAGGAGGAAGGTGCCTGCCGGAGTGGATGGAAATGCCTCTCCGTTTCCTTTCTTCCCCAGTCGAAAGAATCCTCCTCTGTCTTAAGCTGTGACATTTCGGCAGACGACAAGTACATTGTGACGGGCTCTGGGGACAAGAAGGCCACCGTCTACGAGGTGATGTATTGACCGGGGATGCGTCTGCGACTGTTTCACGGGGCTGAGCCAGCAAGGCGGCCCTGAGACCCCAGCGGGCGGACCTCCCACGGAGAGCGGCCGGCACTTCCATCACGCCCTCTCTGGAGATGTGTGACCTGGGTGGATCTTCCTCCGTGACCCCGGAATAGCCCTGCTGGACTGGGACCCCTGACTTGGGTCCAGCTGTAAGGGATCTTCTGAGCCTCTGCTGAGATGGGGCTGGGTTTTCACTTCTCGGTTCTCACACCTGGCGGCATCACCATTTTCTTTTTACCAAGATGTGTGACTCTTGCTTCTCTGTAAGACTTGTGGGAATTGTAAATATTCGATGCGTTCTGTGGGGAGCGTTTTCTGGCACACGGTGCCCGCGGTGTATCTTCCTTCGTATTCCCCGGGGTTTGGGGTTTGTTCCAGCAGTGGCCCTTCCTCCGCCCTTCCGCACGTTCCTTTGGAGATACTCTGCAAGACCTGCCAGATGGGGCAGAGCTGCCCCCCATGGAGCCGTTTCCCTGTTGTACATGTGAATCGTCTGATGTGTTTCCTCTGAGACTTGCGCACCGCAGGGACTGGATTTCGGGGGCCACGGATGCTGCAGCGCTGGCGACGACATCGGTAGAACATGCGTGTTCTCCTATTAGGTTCTTTTCAGCACTTGTGCATCAGCAGCAAGCGCGGGGCCTGCCTCCGGATGGGCCTCGGATCGTGCCCCAGACGCAGAGGAAGGACTGTCAAGAAAGCAACGTTTTAAACAATACGCTCAGGGAGCCAAGCAAAAGATACTAGAAACTTGTGTGGGGTTTTTTTAATTCCAATGAAAGTAAAGTAATAGAGAAGATAACCTATAAATACAGGTTTTTTCTAAGGTTTACTAACAACCTCGTTTCTGTACGGTGAGGGCTGGGGGCAGAGCACGGGGGGTTTCGTGTCGCTTTGGCGGTCCTCCCCCTTTCGGCCTGCTGGCGCAAGCAAAAGGGGTGGGGGCAGGGAGGGAGTCCCGTCTTCTGGCTTTTTTGTACTAAAGGAGTAAATAAAATTTAAACTCGGGAAATCTACGTATTTGTGTAGCAGAAGATCTTGCCCTGTAATGTAGCATATGGAAGAGAATTTTTATACCACATTTTTTATGGATTATTTTTTAATTTTTGATTTTGATCTGGTAAAAAAGTAACTATGGCTTAAAGGTGAGAAACCAACCTGTTTTTATTAAAAGCCAAGTCAGTGCATAAAGGAGGATGGAGTGAAGGACTTCTTTCCCTGTCCGTGTCTTTGGTTTGGTGCGGTGCATTTCTGGGCAGAAACGGCAGTGGGGCAGAGAGGGTGCCCCAGGGCAGGTGTTGAGGGGCTCTGGTTTGACCTGAAACGCACGCTGGCATTTCCTCCCTGCGCGGGGGGAGGCTGCCGGGAAGCTGCAGGGCTGGGGAAGGGGGCATTTTTCCTTCCTGCGCCTCGGCAGGGCCTCTCACCTTGGGGGCCACCTGCCAGCGAACTGAGCTCTGGCAGGAGGGCTGCTTGGAGGGCATGTTTCTGGAAGGCTCCTCGAGGCACGGAGACCCCCTTCTCCATGGCCTGGGAACCAGGAACTGCGTTCCCTGTTGGTCCAGTTTTCCAGGCGCTCGGTCTGCAGGGTTGCGATTGTGTCTGTGGGGTCGGGGCGCCGGGGAGACCCCGCAGCAACCCAAAATGTTCCAGTCTCGGAATCCTCCCCAGATCTTCTCAATGTGTCTTTTCGAGGAAGGTGTCACGTGTCTCCTCTCACCGTGGGGTGGGCTCGGGCTCGCTGCCTTGTTCTCTGCTGCTGTTCCCCTGCCACCAGAAGCAGTGTGAGAGCTGAGCTCTGCTTTGGAATTCTGTCCCCCATGGATTTGCTGAGCATGTGGGGTGGAGCAAGAGCCCCCCATGCCCCTCCTTTCCCCATGGCTTGCTGCGGCTGCCAGCTGGGCTCCTGCTGGCGCGGGGGCCGAGGGAGGAGCGCAGGGGGTGGGCGATGCCCCAGAGTGCCCCTGTGCCACAGCTCCCTTCTGTCATTTGGGATGCTGCTGGGCCCCGTCTTGAGGCAGCTGTGCTTGGGGGCACGTGCCCCGTGGACTCCGCCCCCTGCCGTTAAGCCACCAGTGACCTTCGAGGATGCAAGGCGTGCCGTGGCAGAGGCCGCAGCCAAGCGGTGTGCCCCTGTTGCCGTTCTTGCAGCCTGTCGGCACGCATGCGCTCTCCCCGCTCCAAAGCAGATCGAAGTGACCCCGTCCTCTCCCCAGTGTCGCATCCAAACGTGTGCAGCCGTCTCCGAATAGTCCTGGGCTCGTGCGACCGAAAAGTGGGAAGGGGGAAATTAGAAATGCATGACTTGGCTCCGTTGCCACCCGCCCAGCTGATCTCGAAACATGAGAGCCGCCCAGCCGCGCATGCTTGGCCGGAGATGCGGACATGTGGGCCGTTCCGCAGGGGGTCTTTCCAGTGACCTGTCGAGCGTGGCAGAGCCTGCTGTGAGGCGAAAGGCAAGAGCCAGGGGGTGGGCCGCGCCTCCAGGAACTCTCTGGCAGGGGAGGGTTCAAGGCCCGTTTCCGCCTGACTTTAAGACGTGCCGAGCCGAGGGTGGGCACGAGACCTTTGAGAGGGGGATGGCCCCCGTTCCCGATGTTCCATCGGGAAACAGAGATGGACTCGTGCCGGGTTTCATAGACTTGGAAGAGTGTACTTTGCCTGTGTGGGGGTGCTTGCCAGCAGCCTGAAATGTTTGTCCTTTAAGGGCTGGTTTGTTCCAGTTGCAGCCTTTCCAAAGGTGCTGACTGGGCCACAAGGCATTCCGTCTGCAGAAATCCACCTTCCCTGCAGCACAATTTCAAAGCATTGGCTGAGCATTTCCACCGCGACTTTGCTCCAGCTTTTGAAAATGCCGACTACCAGCTGCTTTGTAGTGTGCCTTTCGAAGGATCATCAAGAGTGCATTTAGCTCTCCCAGATACCTTGGGGTGTGTGGTATCGCTTTAACTCAGCGTGGGCTGGGGCAAAGCATAGCCATCCTTGTTTCAGTTTATGAATGTGCATTTGATGAGCAAGTCCTGAGGGTTTTGGCAAGGTCCGATTTGCTTCACGGGTGATTCAAGGCATCTTTTCCATTTTTTAATGGTCTGCATTGGGGATGTTTGTTGTTGTTGTTGTTGTTAGTTGTGAAGTCTAGTTCCTCCAGGCCTTCCTGTCCTCCACCATCCCCTGGAGTCCACCTAAGCTCACACTGACAGCCTCAGTGACTCCATCCAGCCACCTCTTTCTCTGGCTTCCCCTCCTTCTTTTGCCATCTATTGTTCCCAGCATTGGGCTCTTCTCCAGGGAGGCCTTCCTTCTCATTAGGTGGCCAAAGCATTTGAGTTTCATCTTCAGGATCTGGCCTTCTAAGGAGCAGTCAGGGTTGATCTCCTCTAGGACTGACCGGTTTGATCACCTTGCAGTCCAAGGGACTCGCAGAGTCTCCTCCAGCACCACAATTCAAAGGCCTCAATTCTCTGGCGCTCAGCCTTCCTTATGGTCCAGCTTTCACAGCCATACATTGCAACTGGGAAAAACATAGCCTTGACTATACGCTCTTTTGTCGGCAGGGTGATGTCTCTGCTTTTTAGTATGCTGTCTAGATTTGCCAGCGCTTTCCTCCCAAAGAGCAAGTGTCTTTTAATCGAGGAGTCTCATGTTTTTTAAACTGTATTATCGTAAGAGACATGCAACATTCCTTCTGGCTGAAAGGCATAATTTGTATTCTGAAGACTCGTTCAACCCTGTCTGAAGCCAAAGATCAAAATGACCATCACATGCTTTCCATGTGCACGCGCACGAGGAGGGCACTGCGCAGCCGAGCGGCAGCGCCTCTCATCCCAGGTCGTTAGCTGGCCATATGGCTCTCCGAAGCCCAGTCAGTCATGTCCGTGCCTCAGCGAGCCCGTTTCCAACAGTTCGTTGCGAGCGGTTAGGTGAAAGTGGAAGCGCACAGGTGACGCAGGAATGATGCGGAAGGCAGGCCGGCAGATGGGCTGGCCCAGCTTGACTACTGGTGGCCGGCGAGGCGAGCCCACCCGAGGGCAGGCAGTGCCAGGCCTGTGGCACAGCTCCCGGTCCTGCTCCTGGCCTGGGGCTTCAGAAGCTGGCGTGTGCCTCTGCTTTGGGCCCCGAGCCAGCATCCGTGAGCCCCGAGCCAGCATCCGTGAGCGGCAGCTGCCTGCCCAGGTTGAGGCTTGTAAGACAACGGGACTCCGCACAAGCGTTTGGAAGGGGCAAAGTTGGTAGATTGTGCTCCCCAAACAACCGATGATTACCGAGTCGCAGTGTGCGCGAAGCCCAGGAGCGGAGGGCAAGGCCGTGTCGAAAAGGAAGCAGCCAGAATGTTTGCTGCCAGGGAATGGAAGTGGCTCCCGCGCAACCCCAGGAGGCCGCCTTGGTTCAGGGGGGACAGACTGCAGCCGGACTGGAAGGAACTCCAAGAGCGGCTGTTGGGCAGCAAGCGGCTCCGAGTGCCTTGGCAAGCCGCTGCCCGTTTCCTGCAAGGTTGCGCCCAGCGGGCTCCAAGCTGTCCTCCCATCCAGTGGGCTAGAGGCGTGTTGTGAAAAGAGAGGGCCGGGCAACAACATTGTGGAGACGGCCGTTTCCGCAGCGTTGCATCCAGATCTGGAATCGGCTCTGTTGGATTCCCAGATGCCATTCGGGTCCTGGGGGCCAGGGTGGAGCCCCCAACCCCAGAGCGGGGTGGGGGGGCACTGGCACGTAGCAAATGCATCAAGATGGGCAGATTGGGAGGGGACAGGCTGGAAGGCTAGCGCTTTCCCTGCCGCCTGTGGGCATATGTGGCTGGCAGCCTTTCCCGGGGGAGCTGGCTTGCAGGAGGCCCCCCGTGCCCCCGCTGCCAGCCGCCCGCCCGCCCGCCCGCGACAGCCACTGTGCCCCTCGCCTGCCCCCTCCCCGCACCGCAGCCCCGCGACAGATGGCGGGAGGCAGCCTGGAGGATGCCGTCAGCGGCTGTTCCCTCTAGCTGGTGACACGGAGTGTAAAATTTTGTTGGCCTACCCCTCCTGTCATCTGTTCCGCTGCTGAATCCCACCAGCTTTAATTACTATAATTGAGTTATAATGAGCGATGGAGTGTTGCCGTCGCGGCGATGGCAGGGAAATTTCTCGGCAGTGCCCCCGCCATCGCGCTCGGTTGGCCATCAAGAGGATCCTCGCCCCCCCCCCCGTTGGCCTCCTGGGGAGGCAAAGAGCACAGGGAGGAGCCCCTGGCCCTGCAAGGGGTCCCCTCGGTCCCGTTCTCGGCATGCTGGGTTAGGGAGGGGGCAGAGCTGCCCTCCCCCCGGCATGCGATCTCGACCAGGAAGCATTCGCACTTCCTTTGCTCTTCCACCGCTGCCGGCCTGGAAGCCCCCACAGCAGCCGGCCCGGCCCGGCACCTACCCGGTGCTTTGGGCCAGAATTGCCCGCATCCCTGACCATTGGCCAGGCTGGCTGGGGCAGATTGGAGCCGTAGTCCTAAGCATCTGGACAGAGCCATGTTGGAGAAAGCCATGTGATGGGCTGCATTGCGTGTGTCGAAATGGCGAGCGCGGCTCTGCCGGGGTGCCCGGTCCAAAGAAAATGCACACTTTGGTCAGGCAGAGAGAGATTCATGCGGCACGTCGGTAGCCCCGGAGGGACCGCAAAGCTGCGCAAGATGCTTCACGGCCTGTTAGTTCTGTACACAGTTTGGAGTGGGTGCGGGGGGTGGGGGAGGGATCTGTTTGCTGGGCAGTTTGCTGGAGGCAGGTGAGAGCGGGGGGGAAAGGGTGGAAGGGATTGAGACGCACAAAAGGAAGGCGTCAGGACAGCGGCCATTGGCATCTCTAGGGGGCACCTGGGCAGCCAGACCTGCAGCAGGTTTCCTGGTGCCACTGGGGTCCCGCCGTGGCTCTGAAGCTGTTCTTGCGGTGTCTGGCTTTCGCCATGTTGTCCTGCCAGATGGCACTGGATCACATGGGCTGCTTGTGTTCCACTAGATCCTGATCCACGTTTGCTCTGAGGCATCTTCCGCCGGGAGAAAATACACGGGAAGGATTTCCTTCCAGCGGACTTGAGCCAAGTGGTGTAGTTTCTCCCGGAGGGCACCATTGTGGGGTGCAAGTAGGGAGGGGTTGCCCATGGGAATAAAGTGTGTGTGTGTGTGTGTGTGTGTGAAATGCATCCATTCATCCCAAGATCAGTGACGCGGGGATAGTGCTTCCT